TATAAACTGTCAAAGTTGTCTTAGTGCCAGGATTATTGGGAATAACACCTACAAGGTACAAGAAAATCACATCAGGGATGCATTGTTTAACCATTAACCGTTTAATTTTAATTGCCCACATAGACAAACGACAAGAATTAAAGTACCATGAAAGGAGATTAATGATGAATTGATATTAGCGCGGGTGTTTGATTATTGACTATATAAAGAAATGATAAACCAATGAGTCGACCATGTCTAATAATGTGTTAAATTTAGGTATCTTTCATCTTTGGTATTGATGTAATTAGGTCTTCATTTTTTGACATTAATCTCCAAATGGTTGTATTCATATCTACAAAAAGATTGTAAAAGGGTAGGGGGTATTTGTTCATGTTTTAGCCACATCTCTAATAGCGCTTGTCAAAGCTAACTGGTATATAAGGAAGTCTTGTTCAGTAATGTTATATCTAAAACTATCACACATGATTTCGGTAGATGTTAAATAATTAAAAATATCACACATATAAATCATTCGGAAGTACTTAAACTGATTTTCATTCATTCACAACAACTAGGTCATTTCCAATCAGATCAAAATACTATTTCGTTTCGGTTTTTTTTAAAGATCAAATGTTAAATAATGAAAATATTATTTCCAGTAAATTTAAATTTATGCAGAAGTAATCAGATTTATAACTGATTTTCTACAAAAAGGAAGGGGGCGTTCATTCATTCAACAGAACTAGGCCATTTCCAATTAGATTAAAGAACCGATCCTATTTCGTTTCGTTTGTAATTGATAGTTCAAATGTTAAATAGTTAAGAATATCACACACCAAGTGGTCAAAGATCACGAGATGTGAACAGGGCTAGCCCTAACCCTAACCCTGGCCCTGGCCCCAACCTTTACACATACCCTAACCTACAATCTCCGTCAACAATCACGTGCCCTAACTTTTTCTACATCTCACCGACCTTGGCGAAATCTGGAGGTGACCTTAAGAAATAGTCTAGCACCAAATAGACGCTGGTATCTAAATACTAAGGCCAACTGTAGATTTAGTCACCCTAACCCTTACCACAACCCACAATCTCGTCAACAATCACGTGCCCTAACCCTATTTACGTTTCGCAACGTTGACGAAATCTGCAGTTGGTCTAATATTTAGATTTTACCCCACGTAGACTAAATATAAATTATACGGAAGTAATAAAATGTATAAGGGGTGTTCATTTAAAAATTTCGATTAATGGCTATAAACAGTTCTCGCTATAACAGTTAAACATTAGATAATGAAAAGGGAATATGTTTCAGTGAAATTAATCCATTCCGAGAGACGTTATGGCCGTTTGAAGAATATCTAGCTTTGGCTGTATGACGGAAAGTGATATGTAGGTAGCTACATCCATACAATTGTGATGCGGCTGTCGGTTTACTATTAGGAAGACTTGCCGCTTTTAGAAAGAAATTCTCAAAATGGCGCCATTCGAAGACATTCGGCACACCGCGACAGACTGCAGTAACCTACATCTAACATTAGCTGTTTTAGGGGATTGAAGGTGTGCCGAATGGCGCTACCTTTGCCAAGTGGGGATCCCAATATGAAAGGAAGGAACGGTTCGCAAAGCAATGGTAACGAGCATTTATCATTGCATCCGCCACTGCCACATTTACGAATCAACCATGGCTCATTACTTTCATTGTTCTACCACTTCTTTTGTAGACTAATGAAAAATTATTACAGTCTCGTTTTTTTTTCGTACTTTTATCAAATCTATTTCTGTTATAAATCATCAAATACACCGATTGAACTTTCCGAAATGTATAGTTTTTCTTCCAAATTCGAGTCGCAATTGTATCAAGTCGTAATGGTTCATAGAGAAACATAGCTTTTAATGCTAGTAACCACTACTTCAGCAATACGTTAATTATTATATTGGGCCACCAAAGAGGTATATGTTCTTCAAAAGAAACAAACGTCATAAATACATTATCTAACTATATCATCTTTCAAATTGAGCTTTGAAGTTAATTGAAGTGGTGCAAAATAAATCGATTTTTATTTTAAAACAAAACGATTAAAACGCCGTAGACAAGAATGTTTAAATAGAATATAATTGAATAATAAAGACAATAAATAGTTCCTGGATATTTGGTGCCAAACATCTCATAAACTATGTCTCGTTCTGTATAGAATAAACGTATTATAATGAAAATGGCTAAAGGTAAATCTATTTGAAGGAGTAGTATTGTACAAGTAGGTACTTCAATTACAACTTTAAAAATCTCTCCTCCTTCAGTATTAAAGATGCGTTATGTAAGACTAACGGTTGACTCGGCGCTCAGGGGGTTGGATGGCCGAATGGTTAGCGCATGCGCCTTGTATCATTAGTTCTGTCATTGAGTCAACTGGCGTGGTTTCGATTTCCCGGTTGTACGTGACAAGGAGTAGGGTTGCCTGTCCAACCTTGTGTTTTTTTCCGTGTCCTCCGGTTCCTCGCACTGCTAAAGACCCCAACGCACAAGGGAATTATTGAAATAAAATTGAACCATATGTTAGTCCCGAAATAACCTAGTTTGTGGACCATTTCTCTCCCCCGTCGACTCGGCGCTGCACGATTTATGGCCTTAACTCCGAAACCGGAAGTGGTAGGCCGTCGCGACCAAGCCTATGTTATTGTTACTCCCTGGTCTGACCAACCTGAAGCACGTGCTAACCATTCGGCCACCCAACCCCCCTCTGAAGAAACGGACGACAGTCAAAAATATTAGTATAGATTTAGATAATGAGATGGCCGTTCTTGCTAGAATAGGTCGGAGATAGACACGCAATCAAACTGAGGTATTGGTAACCCATAAATCATTTTTTTTCTCTTTTAAAGCAACATTATGTAAGATTTTGATAAAAGAACTGACCTTTCTTGCTATAAATGAATCTATTGGAAATTTTGCTTAAATTGCTTTATTCTAAGCGAAATGATGCTTATAGTTAAATATGAAATGGCTAAGATGATCTAATCCATTTATTATATAAGCCATCCGCTTGCCCAGAGAGTTGATTATGGGTTTGTCATGTGACTAAATGTCTAAATAATAGTTTATATAGCAGTTGAAGTTAGAAAAAAGACCTGCAATAGGCAGATTAAGCTCTTACATAATGCATCTTTAATAAAAGGATATAAAAAACCTCTCTAGATAAAAGATGTCGGACAAATAGGTTTTAATTTAATAAAGAGGTTTGACGCCAAGAACACTAAACATTAATTGAAATTACACCAGAATGTGTGGGCTATTCAACTAGAGTCGAAAACCATCACACTCCAAACTAACGACACAAAATCTTTGAAGTACAAAAGCTAATAATAAATGTACTATCCTGCAGCTGATTTGATTCAAAATGAGAGAGAGAGAGAGAGAGAGAGAGAGAGAGCGAGAGAGAGAGAGAGAGAGGGGGGGGGGTAAAGTCCACTCGACACAAACTAGGTCATTTCGGGACTAGCATATGGTTTAATTTTACTTTAATAATTCGCTTGCGCGTAGGGGTCTTGAGCAGTAAGAGGAAACATGAGGACCCTGAGAAAACCCACGAGGTTGGACAGGCAATCCAACTCCTTGTCACGTACAAGCTGAAGCTGGATACCACTCCACTTGACTCAATGACAGATCTTATGATCTTAAACGCACGCTTTAAACCACTCGACCTCCCCCCCCCCCTTCCTCCGTTGTATGAAGGTAAATGAAATGAAATGAAATGGGGTTTAACGCCATACCGTTCTGCTCTTAGTGGGCTAATGAAGACGGGCATACGCCATACAGTGAACTATGAGGGAAATTTTGCCCGGACAGCGGCACTACGCCTACCCTAATTTCGAATTCCAATTTTCAAGGGTTCTTATTCTTTTCGCTAATATGTACACGGTGTATCGGTTTTTGTCCCATTCGAATGACTAGACACTGTTCATTGACAGCCGCCAGGCTATCTGTTCTTAACATCAAGGGGAAACTTCAACGTAAAAAGCCCGGGAAAAAGCTAGGCCAACCCCGGGATTAAAACTGGGACCTCCTGGTTAGCGATCCAGCGCCTAATTCACCGAGTCACCGCTGCTCCACAGTAAAAAAAAGATACAATTTCTAATACGACCACCATAAGCACCCAAAAATGCTACTGACTTGTCCATAGACCTGTGGTCATCTGACATGCTGGCCAAATGAAACCGTGAGAGTAACGGCGGCGAAACATCATAGGCTGTCGATGTAGAAAAGTTTCACTCAGTCAAGATACACAAAAACTCCGCTGTAATCCTTTTGACAAAGCAGCGTTTCTACTTAATTTAACAATCATAATTTAAATTGTTCGAGTAACAAAACTAACATGCATGCAATTTTAAATAGGTGTAAGATTTAGATAAAGAGCTGACCGTTCTCATTGTAATATTTCAAACATAGATAATGCAAAATGAATATATTGAAAGTTTCATTCAAATGAATCCATTTTGAGCGAAGTTATCAATGGTTGTAGTTTTGACAAGATGTATGCTTGGTCGTAACCTCGTTTCGTCAGTTTTTAAAATAAATCATTAAATGTCCGAACTGTTCTAATCTACTTAATATCGGGGCCATCTGACTGATGGCATCGAGGGTTGATTATGATCTTGTCATGTCAACAAATGTCTAATTACGGTACTGGTCATTCGAGTCTTAGCCTCGCTTCTCCATTTTTAAATGAAATCATTAAATGGCCGAACCGTTCTAATCTACTTAAAATCCGGACCATCTGATGACATCAAGAGTTGATTATGATCCTGTCATGTCAATGAATGTCTAATTAATAATTATATAAATTTATCTAACACCCCCCACCCTACCCCACCACCACCTAAAAAAGACCTGCAATGGGCAGATGTAGCTCTTACATAATGCCTGTTTAAGTCTATAAAAGTATTCGTTTAATTCTAAGAAAGTAAAAGGAAAGCGTGAGTATATCAATATCGACCAGATATATTACAATAGAACCTACCTTAACATCAAGTCTGTAAGCTGAATCTCTATATAACTATATAATAAAAAACACGTGTTCAATATCAACACTTCCACAACAACAAAACACCTCTTTTCATTATCATATCTACTTTGTCTAAATCGTAAATTCTTTCCCATTTCACCTTTTATAGGTCTCATTTTCTCGCTACGGGAGCAATATTAATTGATCATGTTTAAGGCACCTTAAAGGCGCCAGTTTGTCCCTTTCTTTCACGTTTACCCAGCAACTAGAGCAATTAGTTGGACCACTTCCATTCAAGTGTGTCTCACCATCTTCTAGCCCGACAGCTCAGCCTGCGGTGCATTATTCTATTTGGAAAGCGGAATCCGCCAAAAATAGTTTAATCTAAACTAAATCAAGAATTCCGCGTAAAAAAGAAGAATAAAAGAAACAGACTGAAATTAGCATGAAATGAAATCTACGGAATGAAAGAAATTTCCATTTACATATATAGGTAGATTTTAAAACATACAAATGAAATGGTGTTTAACGTCCTACTTTTCTGCACCGTAGAGGCTAATAAAGACGGTCGTACGCCAAATACAGTGTGCTATGAGGAAACTTTTGCCAGGACAGCGGCACTACGGCCTACTCTTATTTCGAATTCTAACTGTCAAGGGTTCTCTTACATGCACGCCAACGTGTACACGGGATATCGTTTTTTCGTCCCATTCGAACGACTAGACACGGACCCTAGGTCCTGCTCCACTGATAATGAGAAACCATATCGGATAATCCCGTGGAACCTTTTCGACCAACACCGGGATTGAACGCCGAACATTTTGGTTAGTGAGCTACCGCCTTACTCACTGAGCCATCGCGTCTCCATAAAACATACAAGTTTCTATTTTTTTTAAAATAATGGGATTGGATATAATAACATATTTAACCCAAACAGTATATTATTACGTTAGAATGTAAGTGTTCGGGGAAGGATGGGAGAATCTTTTATATCCACTAGTGTTAAAAATAAACATATTTAAACAAACAAGCAACAAAACTATTTATTAACTAGAACTGCCATGCAGTGATGACGGGTTTCACCGGTGCCAAAATGAAAAAAATGAAATGAAACGGGATTTAATGTCCTACTGTTTTGCTCCGAACTGGGCTAATGAAGACGGGCATACGCTATACAGTGTGCTATGAGGGAAATATTGCTCGGACAGCGGCACCATGGCCTACTCTTATCTCGAATTCCAACTGTCAAGGGATTTTTTCAAGGCCCTCCGTCCTGCATCACTGACAAGGGGGGGGGGGGCACGCCGGTGGCACGTTACCTTTTAACTTCTGCCATTCCCATTACCAATAAAACCGTTAAACAGAATTTCCATATGAGCATTGCACACGTGTTATATAATGGACGAAGAATTAAATTAAATCCAGCAATATCAGTTCCATTTATACATTTGTTACATATATCATAAAGAACATACAGCAAACAAAGACTCGACACGATGAAACCACTTTCTTATCAACAAAATTTATAAACTCTTTATAACGTCTTATTATAATGCGAAATATCTTAAAAAAACAGTCCTGATAAAATTGGTTTTCTCGGCAATTTAATAATTAATTATGAATCAATTATTTAAATCGTCCCGCTCATCACAAAACAAACGTGTTGTTTCTTGGTTGGGTCCCCTTATATGAAAGTAAATTGGAAAATATGGATCCATGAACAAAAATACAATACTGCTTGGTGGTTTTTAAAGAAGCTCTTGAGGAAGCCCCGCGGGCATGCGACCGGTGTTAATACAGATCACGCTGTTCTAGAAGAAAAGGTAAAATGAAATGGGGTTTAATGTATAAATGGATTGCACCGACTGTGCTAATGAAGACGGGCATACGCCATGTCAATGTATGTATCCTTTGTTTGTTTCATGTATCTTTCTATTATGTTTATTTGTATATGCACATAACCTTGTAAGGTTGTTTTATGCAATAAAGTTTCTGCCCGGGCTGCGGCACTACGACATGTGGAATTCCAACTTTTAAGGGTTCTTTTAAGTGCACTCTAATGTGTACACGGGACCTCGGTTTTTCTTCCCATCCCAACGACTATACGTAGTCCTGTACCACTGATAAGGGAGAAACACGCCGGGAATTTTCTCGGTCAACACAGGGATCAAACGCAGAACCTCCAGTTTAGCGAGCCAACGTCTTTCCCACTGAGCCACCGTGGCTCCCTTGAAGAAACAGTGAGTTAATTTTGACTTCCCATTCTTTCCATAGTATAGTACATACATCATCACACTAGAGACAAATGAATCTGTTTCACTAGCATCAAGTTACATGCTAATTATAAACAAATCACTTATATATTAATTATCAGGCGTGAAACTGTTAAATACGTCGGATTGAAGGGGTGTTCAGACAATAAAAACTAGCGGGAAGCCCTGTCTGGAGGAATAGAAAGCCATCTTAATGAAAAAAAATATTGTCTGTATTAAAGGCGCTGCAGCTCTTAAACTTAGGTTCAACTGTTTGGTTGAATTTTGTTAATTTTAATCTGATTTGAATTAGTGATGGGATGATCTTTGTGCGATTAAATATTCGTATAAACAGGCAAGCGGAAGTCAGTTTGGCTTTTAATTTTTGTTTCGTTCTTTGGCTAAATCTATGGACAACTGAAGGTAAAATCAATAATATCTCAACTTTAGCCCTGTGTTTTCGGGTCTTGCAATTACTGAAATAAAATTGAACCATATGTTAGTCTGAAAATGCCCTAGTTGTTATCAAGTGGCCGTTAAACCCCACTCCTCCCTCTCACTCTTCCTTGTTAAAGAGGAGAATTGTGTTTTTTCGACCACCAAGTACCTCACGAAACAATACGCATTAAGCATTGTGTCATGCTACTAATATCTTTCTACTGCCCCGACAGAAAATGCCGCCCTAGTTACGCTACTCTACTAGATATATGGGAGTCACGGGGGCTAAGTGGGAGTCACGGGGGCTAAGTTGGCTCGCTAGCCTGAAGGTCGCGTTTTCGATCCCTGCATTGACCGAGAAAGTTCATCGGGATTTTCTGACGTGGTTTCCCCTTGTCAGTAGTGTAGGGAGGAAAGCTTGACAAGGCCAGCAGTCTAGTCGTTCGGATGGGACGAAAACCCGAGGTCCCGTGTATACATTGGCGCGCACGTAAAAGATCACTTGGCAGTTGGAATTCGATATAAGAGTAGGCCATAGTACAGCTGCCCAGGCAAAATTTCCCTCATAGCACACTATCAGCCCAGTCGGAGCAGAACAGCAGAACGTTAAACCCCATTTCATTTTATTTCATTTCTACTAGATATGAGATTCATACATCAACGTAAATATCTATCAAAGCCTAGCGTTATAGTGCATCAGATTTAAATCTAATATCCCCAATAAAAAAATATCAAAAAGCGATTAAACTGTCAATAATGCTCGTTGAAAACGTCTAAGAGGGAGATTACAAGTGATCTCTATAGCGACATTTCATACAACATCGCTGAGCGGATTGACGCCAATTCACGACTTGAAACCCCACGAGACAACCCAAGGGCCCTATAGACCAATAACACCTCTCCACTCATCCTGAAGATTGAGACGATTAAAATACTTGAATGAATTTATTCTTCTTATCGATACGTAAAGTTGGTTTGATATTTCACGACACAAGAGACAAATCTTCATTTAATTTTAGTGGTTAAAAGAGCCACTCAAGGCTTCAAGATCAGCCATTTACAAAAGATGGCGTCAGTTAGGCGAGTCGAACACATTTATTTCTACATCTTCCGCAGTGTCTTGTGTTTTTCCAATTCTAACCAAAACAACCCCATATGCCCACAACCCATTATTTTTCATTCGGTACACCACTTCATCGGCTTCATTAAGCTTCAGAGTAAAATACTGGACATTTTTTCTCCCCGGCAATTGTGTCTGAATGTAGCATCACCTCTTGGCCCGCACAGCGCCGTACATTTTCACAAATCAATCCGCCTTTTATTGTCTTGTCAGACAGACAACAAATATTCTAAGTTCCTGAAAGTCACAGACAGTTAATAACTCATTCATTTAATTAACGTTTTACTTTTTTCTTACACTACAAGTTATTGGCAAATTTTCCTTGGTCTTTTTTCCGCGCGGAGAATGAAATGTGTATTAACGTCCTACTGTTCTGCACCGACTCTACTGCTGAAGACTGGCATACGCCGTACAGTGTGCTATGAGAGAAATTTTGCCCGAACAACGACACTGCCGCCTACACTTATAAAAAATCTCTGACAGTTGGAATTCGATATAAGAGTAGGCCGTAGTGCCGCTGTTCGGGCAAAATTTACCTCATAGCAAACTCGATGGCGTATGCCCGTCTTCATTAGCCCAGTTCGGAGCAGAACAGTAGGACGTTAAACCCCATTTCATTTCATTTCATTTCTTTTGCTCTGAAGTCGACAGTTTCTTTAAAACTGTTTCTCAAGTTCTCCTTTTCCAAGAACAACAGTTTGTGATTTTAAACTAATATGATTAAAACACAAATTTATACGTCGTATTTCGCTTCGGTTTTGTATAATTCCGGTGACCTTCACAAAATGAAGTCAAGTACAAGTATAGAAAAGTAAAACGAAATTTTGAACTTTAAATAAAAAACGAACGAAATAGGATATGTGGGTTTGTCATGTTGGGTCTATACCAAAGCCTGCCGATTTTCAAATAGTGTACTTGTGATCAAAGTCGGACATTTTTTGGCGATCTTTTTAAACGCACAGATCACAGCCTATATCTGAATAAGGTACAAAAACGTGTTCAAGGTACATGTACGCTCCGTTTGAAATCCATCCATTTATTAGACAACGTAAGACTTATGTGACATAATATAAACCGTAACAGATTTTTTGGGGCCCAAAACACGTTATATATACACCGAGTCATTTGGAGACTAAATCTAGCTAATTTTTGGAACCTAGAAATGGACAAAAATGTTTCGCAACGGTTTCCTCTCACTGCTAAAAACCCCGACGCGCAAGCGAATTATTGTAATAAAATTGAACCATACGTTACTCCCGATATGACCTGGTTTGTGTCAAGTGGACGTTAACCCCCCCCCCCCCCCCCCAAGCCCCGCCTCTCTCTCTCTTTAACGTTTACCCCCCCCCCCCACACACACTCTTATTAACGTTCGTTTATACCAAAGTGACATCACCCATAAACAACCCAATCCCTATATGAACGCCTTCTTCTGCCCAGTCGGTGCAGATAGTATAGGTAGCACG